CAACCTTCCTTCCGAGGAGTGGCTGGTGGGTTTGAACTGCCAGCCTTCTGGTGAGCAGTCAAGTGCCTTAGGCACTATGCTACCAGAGCTCCTATGGTAACTTATTATCAGTCAGATAATGCCCATTGAACTTATCTACCACTGACAATCTTAGCAAATATATTTAACAAGGCTTGTGTATTTAATAGGAGCTCTGGTAGCATTGTGCCTAAGGCACTTGACTGCTAACCAGAAGGCTAGCAGTTCAAAACCATCAGCCACTCCTCGGAAGGAAGGTTGGGCAATCTACTTCCATAGTGATATCGCCTCAGAAACCCAAGGAGGGGTCGTTATGAGTTGGGTCTGACTCAGATGGCACATAACAACAACAATGTATTTAATGGAGTTTCTGGCTCGTGCACTTAACACAATTGGGTGCTTACCGAAAAGTTGGCAGTGCAAGTTCACTCAGAGGTACCTCAGAAGAAAGGCCTGGTGATCTACTTCTGATAAACAAACCATTGAAAACCCTACGGAGCACGGTTCTACTCTGACACACAAGAGATCAACATGAGTCGGAACTGACTTGTCAGAAACTTTTTTATATATTTAATACTCTATGTCATTAAGCAAATTATATATTAAGTTTATAAGGAACATTCCCAGTACCACTCTTGAGATATTAGAAGGCGCCAGAAGCTTTCTAGAGAGGATTCTTGCTTATAGTGTGTATTTGTTCAAGTTACTTCTCTGTGCCTCATCTGTCAAATAGAGATAATAGTACCAACCTCATAGGTTTCAGGGTGAATAAAATTAAACGTTCATTACTTTGGCCAATGCCTGGCACACAGTAAGCACTCTAAATTTTGGCTATTTTTCTTATTACTATTGTTATTTTTCCTCATGGCTTTAGAAGCCCAGAGGAAAAGAGGGTGGCATTTGAACCTTGAAGATCTACATTTGATGTCCCAGCATTGCTGTTATCTATGTTTGTGATCTATGACAATGACAGGCTACAGAAAACACTTTGAAGCAACTGTTCCCTTACGTATAGTTTAGGGGAAACTGTGTTTTTGTGAAGACTGAGTGAGACAATGTATAAGAAATAAAAGATCCTGTTGTCAGGAGGGACCAGTCCCTGGAGGATATCATGCTTGGCAAAGTAGGAAAAAACTCATTGCCATCGAGTTGGATTCAACTCATAGCGACCCCTCTTTGGGTTACT